ACGTTGATGACGCGATGACGTTGGTGACGCGATGACGTGTTACGCTAAGCGTACCGTCTCACTTCCGGTCTCCAGCCTGTCGGTTGTCTGGCTGTTGATAGCACTAGCTAAACTAAGCTAACTGTATGTTTATTATTCAGTACAAGCTGCTGTACATCTAAACATGTAAACACTCGTAGCTCGCTCTGTCTTTTAGCGACTCCTCGCTCAATCCAACAGTTGTTTACACGTTGTTCAGTTCTGCTAAGTAACGTTAGCTACCGTACGTTAGCTTAGCAGCTAGCGATGACGTAACTATAGCATAACAATCACCTCTGGCCAAATCATTCACAAACTATAACACCGTTACACTGTTTGTTTGGTTAAATCGTTGCACTACTCTTTAGTTAGTTAATTTAATATTATTATATTTCTATTGTATAAATTGTGCATTTTTATACTCAATATCGTTTATGTTTTACTCTGTTACTTTGACTGCTTACCTGTCTCATAATGCTGCAGTAGTGAACACGTTTCCCCTTGTGGGATTAATAAAGTATCTATCCATATATGTCAACACACAACAAAAATGTGAATATTGGATAAAGCCAGTTAAACATTATTGATTAATTTCGTTGACATATTAGAGTCAACAGGTTTTTTTTGGAGAGAATTATAGAAATCTCTTTTCATCGCTCCATAAATCAGAAAATACGGTTAACAGCCACAATAAATGTTTTCCACGTGTTTAGGAATGAAATGTATAAATCAGGCTTGTACACTAAAATAATTAATCATATTAATCACATAATATGCAAGAAACCGGTTGATATTTTTGCTTCAGTGGTGCAAATTCACAGTCGATCAAATTCTCAAAGAACAACAACTTGTGCTTGGACTTTTTTTATTGTACCACTATTGGACACTACCTACATGGAAGAGCGAGCATGTGTTCATGATCATGAGGCAATAAATAATGACAATTGAAAAAATAAAGATGTTTGGTTTATTCTTATTGAACATTAAGCATAATTTATCTACCTCATTGATGTAATTGTCACACTTAAATCCTGATTTGAATGGTTAAACAGAAGAGGTCAAAGGGCCTCACAAGACAGACTTGAAGCTTCAGCAAAAAAAAATCAACAACCATGGGTTAAGGAAATTGCATAGACGTGTGGTAATGAGGTTGATTTAAGAAGCATCAAATGCAGTTTGCATTACCAGACTAAAATGGTTTCACTCCGCTCAACCAGTTGATCAACCATAGGTCTCTCATAGGCGGCGTTGCAGTTCAGATTGCTGTGAACGCCTGCGCTCTCCAGGATATAGACAACCTCACAGTCAACCAGACCTTCGACATATAGACCCTTCGTTTTCTTAATTATCTTGAACTTCTCATAGGGAGGGATGAGCACCTCTTGCTCTTCTTTTCCAAGACAGGGATAATGTTTCAGGAAAGCACCTGAACAGGTTTTAATTTTAAAGCAGGTCTTTTTACCAAAGCAGTACTGTGTTGTTTTGTAAGAGCTGGAGGCAAAGAAACCAAACCGCATTATTTGATTGACATTGCCACTATACTGAGAATGGGTTCTACGGTAAGAAGTGTGACAGTTTTTATTATTATTGAGGATCTGTACAGCGGATGTCAGCCAGAAATGTAAGGAGTGAAATGGGAAGGAAGTTCTATATGTGCTCATGCCCTTCTGGATTTCATCATTAAACGTCCCATAAAACTTTGGATATTCAGCTGTATAAACACAGATTGCTTGCATGTGATCTTTAGTTAGAGCCTCATCCCCTTTATCTCTATTTTTGAGTCTCTTCTCGACAAAACGTTGTGCTCTTTTCCAGACATCCGCAAATTTTCCAGTGTTCTCTTCTTTAAAGTATTTGTCCTTGATCATTGTTGTCATTGTTTCGTTGCAGCCAATGTACATGTCATCAACAGCCGTTTCAACCATGTTCATTTGGATGCCCAGGTTTGCCTCTGGTAGACTGACGATAAAACTGATCTAGAGGGGAGGGATGAACAAAATGACAGGAAAGTTCAAGAATTAGATGCAGGTTGTTGTACCACTGTACATGAGTGTCTGCGGAGAAAGCCGGGATATAGAAGAACTAAATGGATAGACAGATATTTGTTGTCTCCAAAGGCGAAATTTTGTTTCCACAGAATGTGCATTTTATGTGCCCTGAAGATCAGTCTGCTACTTCTGACTACTGAAGATACTGCTCCGGCGCTTCGGGGGCACGCCAGATTACTTCCTGCAGTTTATGTGCTTGATCGCTAATTTAAGAACTTTGAGCGTTGTACTTTGAGCGACATGCACATGTATACACACCGTGTTAACATTTGTCAAGTTTTAAGAATTCAATCGCATAGTTTCGATTTAAGTGGGTGCAATGTACCATTCACCTTCATGGAGCATACAGGCAGCATCCAGCAAAGGAGCAAACACATTGGAGCAAACATCTGCATGTTACCTTCCATCTCTGCGGGTAGGCAAGCAGCCTCTGAATTTACACACACATACGCAGAAGACATGAACAATGAAAATTTAAAAATTGGCTTGATATATTCTAAATAAAACAATTTCTTCAAACTTAATGTGTGATTTTGAAATAACTCACCAGTCTTCAGCAGCGCCTTTCAGATAAAAGGTTTTGACCAGACAAAGAGTTGTGAGTGAAGAGTTGTATATAAAGCCTGCCTGTTTCCAGACAGGTCACCACATACCACATCCTGACACACACACACACACACACACACACACAGACACACTAAGACACACAATTTGCACACATTCACACTTGCCATGATTAAATGTGCGTGGGAGCGGTTTACTTTTACCAGACAAATGACACGTTCATGGTGTCATTGTCAGCTCAAGTGGACTCACTAACTGATGTGTTTAGACTTGAAGCTTCAACTATGATTTCTTGACCATCTATGGTTACAAGGTGCAACTGGCGGTAGTTTGCACAGTAGATCAGTCACGCCAATATACTCAGAGCCAAAGAAACAGGATGTAATCCATCTTAATTTAAATGTCAGTTGCAAGTAGGACTATACAGTAGTATACTTTTATGTTTTCAAAGCAAGCCATAGTCAGAGCCTGAAATAAAGGTGCAAAAGGGAACAATCTTTCAATTCATCACAACCTTGACAAACTCTAAATTTGACTTACTGCAAGATATTAAGTATCTGGATTCAGGGGGATTCAGAATTTGAAATGCCAAAGCAACAGAATTGAGTAAATTGTTTTGTAATATAGTATTAGCAAAAATGAATAGTCAAAAAGTTGAAATATGTCATAGTTATCATTTAGACCCCACTAGTACCAATTGTCACAACTCTGCAATTGAGGTTATTGTTACAATCTAAATTACATATTACAATTTACACTACATTTTTAAATAGTCTAGGTTTTAATTACCTGCGTTTAGAGTTAATTCCAATAATGTGATCGTCAATTCGTCCTAATTTTACCATGCTCTTGCCAATTTCTTCAAAATTTATTCTATGCAATATAAGAAAACATGGAAACACTGAAGAGGGATTGGAAAGTTATTCTACACAGATAAAACTATTGGACATGTAAAGTACAGAAAATGGAAGATTCTTTTTCCCTTTTGGATGATAGTTTACCTGAATTTGACCAGTGACATTACTGGCCTCCCAACCTCTTATATGTGACTCAATATGCAAGTGAGCAAGTTATTGTCAAATGGTGGGGGCAGGGGCAGTTTTGAGCCCCATAACTAACTCCACAATAAAAATGTATACAACAGCCACTGTTGAGCCTGAGTGTGAGAATCAAACTGTGGCTGCCACATTGTATGTCTCATTTTTCTTGTTCACCTCAATTTCCTGTTAGAGGCTACAAGCTGCAAAACCACATGTGAAATGTGTGGACTCACAACATTTTATAAGTGCTTGTGCAAGGAGGTATGTAAAGACCCTGCCTTTAAAAAAATAAATATATTTAACAAAGAAACATTCATATTGTGTGTATCTGAAAAACCCATCACTGTAAATTCAGAGTTTCATATTGAATGTATCGGCAAAATATTCGGTGTCAACCAATAAATCATTAGTTTTCCCCACGATATCTGCCTCTTGAAATTAAAAGAGGCAGGAAAGTAGCACAGGTCAAACTGCTGATGTGCCTAGATATAGCTTATTTTGGTTACCCTTTTGGCTTTATTTGATAGTTAGCAGTAGAGACATACAAAAGAGGGGGAGAGGGAAGACATGCAACAGTGGTACAAGTTTAGAACTGGACCAGAGATGTTGTGATTACATGGTGTGTGCCATGGACTACAAGGCCACAGGGCTGAACCAACGTAAAACATTGTTTTTAATGGCACATGCACATTGCTAACAATGTAATCATCTATGTGTTTATATTTACAGTGGATCAAATGACAACATGTAAAGTGAATTACTCAACTCTTAATTTCCCCTCAGCTCTACAGAGCATTTTAGCATCTTTCAGATCACTGTTTTGGTTTTTACATGTGCAGCTTCACCGTTTTAGTTCAGTCTCACCACTATCATCTATGCCATTTTAAGATCCAGCAGGCACCTTGATGTAGCTAAGGTAGCATCCTATGACACGGGGAGGTCCGATGTGGTAACTAACCGACGTGCGTGCAAGACCCCTGAAGTCCGCTGTAATCTGAAGAAATACGGGTAGGCCCTAATGTCCAACATTGACTATAACATAATATTTCTTTGCTGTATTTCACTTGTAGCCATCAAAATCAATAATGTAGCCAAGCGTGTAGAAAATGTTATTCTATCTACTGTGCTGTGAGTGGCAACCACATTTATAGACATTGCATTTTAGCTGGGATGTAATAGTGACTTAGTAGTAGACTTAATAGTGGCAACACATTAGGAAACAGGTCTGATCAGTAATGTAATGGTAATGTAGGTTATCCAGTTACCCGGATGGTCCTGAAGATTGTTTCTGCATCCAAAACAACCAAGAAATATTTGTTAACCCGATGCCAAAAAACACATACACTTGTATGGTGCTGTTGAACTCACATCCCGAACTGCTGCATCCTCACATCTACTCATTTAATGATAACCAGCTTGTGATTTGTGGTGTCCTGGATGAAAACATGTAACCATTTTGGCCAGCTAGCCTGCACATTTGCGGTGATCAAAGGCAAGGTTTTGTTTTGTTCGCTCACTCGTTATATTGTCAGCGCGAGCATGTTAAATGTAATGTCATATGGAGATTGTTGTTCTTGAACCCCATTCAGCTAGAAGACTTCATAAAGTCAAAACACTTGAGAGAGACAACAGGAGTGGAAAGGTACTGTAT